GGGCAATCCTACTCTTAGTCAGATTTTTCTTTCTTTTTTTGGCGTTACGGTCTTCCTATTCGCTATATCTAGTTATTCAGATTTTCTTTGCATGTTTAGTTCGTCATCAAACACAAGAAAAAATACAGAAAAATAAAAAAAAGAGGGGACTATATCAAATAAATACAGGAAACAAAATTTAAAAAAAAATGAACAATGGACGTGGGCAATCCTACACTTATTCAGATATTTTTTCTTTCCTTTTTTGGCTTTACGTCTTCCTATTCCCCATATCTAGTTATTCAGTTTTTCTTTACAAGTTTAGTTCGTCATAAAACAAAAAATTGTAGAAAAATAATGAAAATTAAAAAAAGAGGGGTCTATAAAAAATAAATACAGAGAACACAATTGATTTAACAAAATAAATTAACAATGGACATGGACAATGCTATTCTTATTCAGATTTTTTTACACGAGAAAAAAAATATAGGAAAAAAATTTGTGGTGATTAGTGACCCGTTAATCGATATTTATTTAGAACTCGTGAGATGCGGTCTGGTGTAGGAAAAAAAGAGGGGTCTACATAAAATAAATACAGAGAACAAAATTAATTTAACGAAATAAACAAATAAAAACAAATAAACATATAAAATTAAAAAAAGGAAGAGTTGTGAAGTAAAATATATACTACAAATTTTTACATAATTATTTCGGGACGAAGGAGTAAATGTAACCCTCCTACTGATCTGACTGGGGGTCCTCATATTTAGAAGTAACTACATAAAATAAAAAATTAAATACGTAAGTAAATTAAATTAAATTTTTAAAAACCTTGCCTTACTTTTTAATTATTATTATTATTTAGAGTAATCATTTCGTTATTATATAACTATTATTACTACTCACTAAAAAAAAAAATTTTCTGTATTTTTATTTTGTTTTTACTTTTTTAATAATTTTCTCCTATTGTTATTTCCTTTACTTTTTCATTGGTATTACTATTTAGGGTAATTAGACAATTTGCTAGTATATAAATGACATTATTGGTCATTGAAAATTTTTTGTGTACTTTTCTTTAATTTTAATAATTGTAAACATAGTTACTATTGTTCCTAGTGAATCTTTTGTGCAAGTCATTTTTATGGCAAATTCTGGCAGGCGGCATTATTAGCCAAGCCATTCAAATTTATAGGTGTTCTCTTTTAAAAATACAAAAGTATTAAAATTAAGAAACAGGAAAATCTCCAATAAATAATACTTAATTTGAAGAAAAAAAATTATTTTAAGTTCAAACTGACAAGCTAACGCATATGCCTCCATCTTACGGGTACAAGGAGTACCGACAGAACGGGTTTCCAGACGTTAGATGTCGCTGTACGCACAATCTATGCTCACAGTTGCTTGCTCGGGGAACCCTTTTCTAAAATTTAAACTGCCATAAAAAAGATGGTATACAGAGAGCATAGGTCACTAATTCGTGGTAGTAGATACAATATGTACAAAATTAATTTTAATGTAACTTATTAACTATATTTTTATCTATACCTCTTCTTATATACACTGACAGGCAAACAATTCCACTCAATTGATTGCTTTTTTAATTTTCTCGATAAAAAAAATTCTGCCATTATTGTTTTATCCAATAATATTTGTTATCCTATGTTTTAAATTGAGAATATCAATTAGAGGTAGGTAAACACACTTAATCTTTAATCCAAAACAAGGATAAAGGATTTTTCAATGTTTACTTTTTACGGAATTTAAAATGTTTATTCAACTCATTTGGACTCTGAAGCAATAAACTGTTTAGTTTTCATTTTTGTTTTCTTAATTTCAATTTTTAAACTTAAAAATGCCACATAGTGCTGAGGGTGTTGCGCGTATTGTGGCACTTATTGATGATGGACGTTTCATCAGGTATGCAGCACACTGGGTCCTACCATAGTAGCCCGGTTCGGGCCCTAGGGTAACAGAAAAACAGGATGACCGTTTTTTGACTGAGAATTTCGCGAAACCGGCACCTTACTGTTGTTTAAGTGATTCATCAGCTCCAGGAAGTTAGAGGTGTCCAAATTTCTGAAAGCACTGCTCGAAGAAGATTAAATCAGTATGGACTGATGGCTTTTCGCCCCGTAAGAGGACCAGAAGACACTGAATTGCACTGCTCGCATTTGCTCGAGAACACAGGCATTGATCATTGGACGACTGGTCTGCTGTACTTTTTACAGATGAGGGTAGATTTGTTCTACGATCTCCAGATGGGCGTGGAAGAGTATGGAGAAGGCGAAATGAATGGTTCGAAGCTAGTAATTTCTCTCAGAGCCAACCTTTTCTAACTTTCTAACTTTGGCTATTGACATCGGAGTTCCCTACCAAACACTGCTAGACGCCGTCAGACGTTTTCGAGAATCTGTGTCCAACCATTGAAGGCTCGTTTCTGAACGCCCTAGAGTGACAGAACCACAGGATGACCGTATTTTTACTGTTGTCTGTTCGAATTAGAGCTCCAGGAAGTTCGGGGTGTCCAAATTTCTGAACGCACTACTCGAGGAAGATTAAATCAGTATGGACTGATGGCATTTTGCCACGTAAGAAGACCAAAATAAAGAGCCATCGGAGTTCAACTACAGGATGACCGTTTTTTGACTTTGAGAATTTTGCGAAAAAGGCACCTTACTGTTGTTCAAGCGATTCATCAGCTCCAAGAAGAAAGAACGTACCTTGAACTAAATAACATCAGGTTCGTAGCATGGCCAGCCCTTTCTCCAGACTTGATCCCCATCGAACATTTATGGGATAACCTCAAAAGACGAATAAGAGCACGTCCATCACTTCCTTATACACTCCACCATTTTGAAAGGACTCATCGGGAATAATGGGCTAACCTCCAGCAAAGAAACAGTTCCAGACTGGTAGAAAGTATGCAGAGTCTCCTTGGAGATCTGGTTAAGGCAAAAGTAATAAATACTCGATATTGAAATGTTAATTAAAAATCTAAAACAAAATTAAAAGAAATTATTTTCGTCTTTTTTTCATTTTCCTTAGGGATTTATTTATTTATTTTACTTTTTAGATAAAGACTCAATTATTAAGAAACGTGCAACTTTGATACATATGAAGTTATGTTACAAGTGAGAGGAATTTTATGCCTGTTAGTGGATTTATTACTATACCTTTTTCTATTATTTTCTATACTTATTCCTATACATACACCTATTTTATTTATACCTATATTTCTTTAAAATTGAAGTAAAGAAAGAATGTTTAAAACAGAATATTTAAATGATTTAATTATAAATAATTCACAACCATGCTCACCACTGATTTTCTTGTTTAAAGTAGTCATTTTTTTAATTAACTAATAGTTTTAAATTTTATATTTTTAGGTCATTACAGATTAAAAACATCTCAGACAATAAAAAATTATCCTTTATATTGTCGTTTTCATATACACATTAATGAAAATTGTTTTAACAAATTGGCTACATAAAATATAGTGATTAATTTAATTTTTATAACTTAAAAATTTAATTATATTATTTGCTGTGATGACATTATTTCATCATAAATTATTTACACAGGGTTTACCCTTTTGAAGGCCAAAAATAAAGATTAATTATTAATATTATTATTAATAATTTTTAAGGGCTTTTGAACGGTTAAAGTCATTTCACGTCCACAAAGATTAATTATTATTATTATTAATCCATTTACGTTTTAGCGGTCAATTAACCAAGTTACTTCTTTGAATTAATTATTCTTTTTATATAAGGTCTTGGTTGAGAAAAAAAAGTCAGTGTCACGAGCGAGATTCGAACCCACGACCTTCGCCTAAATACGCCGCTGCTCTACCACTTGAGCTATCGTGACTTCATTATTCCTTATTATTAATAACAATTTGATAATGTTGAGACCAAAAACACACAGACTGAAGATAACTACTTACCACATATATCAATAGTTGAACTCTGAGGGCATACACGCAAAAAAACAAAAAATAATAATAAAAAAATAATAAAAACGAAAATTAAAACACTCACAAAAATAACTGACAAAAATTTACATATCGTACGTCACAAAGAAAAAAAACACACTCGCAAACTTAGCTAACACAGTATTAAAAAAAATCTAGACAGTATTTCTACAAGGACTCAAAAACAACATAAATTCAAACTTCTCGTGTAGAAATGTGTGGTGATTAGTAACCGTTAATCTGGATAATTCAAACAACATAAGCAAAGAAGAAGTGCCCAAAAATAAATACCCAAAAAGGCTAAAATTATCGACCAGGCTACGTAAGCTTTACTCTTACCTGCTATGTACAGGTATGATAATATCCCACCTAGGTCAAACTTTAAACCTTTTGTTCGTCATTTCTGACTGGTGAAAGCTAGTAAATACACAGTGTATCACCAGAATTGTTTTCGTTTTGAAGTGAAATGTTTATTATTTACAAGTACAAGGTAAGAGAAAAAAGGAAATTTTGTGGTAAAATGCTTGTGTCAGTGAATTTACTTGTATGGAGACACCTAATAGACATATATCTGATTAAGCATTAAGATGTTTCATTAAGTTTTAATTTATAAATAAAATTTGACAAAACGTTTATGAAAGAGATTTTTTAAATTCTTCTTCAAAAACCATGCTTGCAATTTTCAAAAAGTACTGTACTAACGAGGATCGGAGTTTCATGCTGTTTTTATAAATTTCCTGATAAGAATACAAATTTAGTAAAAAAATAATATTGTAAAAATATTTGTGGTCCCAAATCTTTGACAATATTTTCTGACAAAAACAAAATGATTTTACGTGATGAAGAAACCGCAAATTGACTAATTTGTCTAATTATTGTTAGAACTTACTAGGAATCTGAGTTAACTCAAACTTAACTCAAATCAAAAAATGCGTTGAAATTATGAAATGTTATTAAAATTTCATAACATCATTATTCTTGAATTGATAAGGTTTGAAACACTCTCCTAAGCCTTGTCTGTTTAGATTTGAGTAGTAAAACAAGAATGTGCTGTTCAAAAAAATTTATTTACCTTTACCCCAAAATTACATTAACAAGATGGGAAATCATAATATTCACTGATTATGTCTAGGTTTGTGATTTGATGACGTATTTATTTTTTCTTTCCTTTCTTCTTCTTTTTAGCTGCTTCTGGCCACGGAAAGCCTCTGATCTTCAGCACGTCCATCACATTGTGACAAGTGTAGTAGGCGTTTTCGACGGCGTGTTCGTTGAAGATGTCCACCTGGCACCTAGACTTGGACCTTCCCTCTTTTCTTCCACCGGTCTTGATAGCTGCCCTTTTCACAGTTTTCTTCTTTTTCTCACCATTTTTCGCCTTGTCTTTCTTCTTCGACTTCACCGGCATTTTCCCTTGTTAACTCGATAGCCGGGTCGCCCCTGGTAACCGACGACGCTCACGAATCGATCATTCTTGGGGAGGGAGACGTATAAAAGGAAAAATCGTTAACCTAATTTTAAGCAATTTCGCCCTTTTGTAAAAGTAAGAATGGATACCGGCCTCGCTACCAGATTACACGAATGTCCGACTGTTACAAAAGAGTCCCTAAACAGATCCCAATTGCTCCGGTTTCAATATAAACGCCTGTCATTAGCCACCGTTTGGGTTTCGTTTTTCTTGTCTAGCCGACTGTTCTGGAATTTTTTTCCTAGTTTCGAGATTATGAAAACTCCGGCTTTATACGCCGGGTTTCTTATCACGAGAGTCTAACTTTCCTTTAGGGGCCTAGGAATTCAAATAATTACACTTTATCAATCATATAAAAAAACCTTTAAAAAAAATGTACAATAACAAATTTCAAAGGTAAAACAATATTTGTATATTTAATTTAAAATATTTGCGTACTAGAAATTATACAATCGAAGTTTGGTCGCTTCCGTTCAACCTAGTTTGGCGATCTCACTGTTTTGGTTTGAGGTCGATTCACACCCATCAGTGACGTGTGGTCAGTGCAGTGGACTTGAGTGGCCAAAATGGGAATGTTTCCATAATATCAACTTTCGATTATCGCAGTGATTTTGGATGAAGAAGAGGAAACGGAAGTGGGTCGAACAAGTATGGAATAGGATGGACAAAAGGGGAATTTTCTACACGTTAGAAAGAAATAGTGGACAATGGGGCAAAATTTTGCTTCCTGTATAACTTAAGACTTACACTTCTTAATAAATTAAAAAATAATATACGCACGTTTAATTAAATTACTTCCCAAGTGGATTAGAGGAGTGAAAGTCGAACATAAGAAAATTAACATTTACAGGGAGTAAATGCAACGACAGAGGCATTTCGTGTACGACAAAAATTAACTAATTATTTCAATTCTGATGCTGGATCTCTCCCGTAGTTATCAAATACCCATTTTTTCCTATTTTCCTCCAGAGAGGATTCTTGAAATCTGACTCCATATATTTTGAAATTGCCTGATCAAACAATACAGGATCACTTCGCACCAACTCAACGTGATTTTCGTCATTCATGTGGTACGGCCGTGAAAACTGTAAAATATCGTCAACAAGAAATCCGATTATCACGGTCCGGTGACACTGTTGGCACGGCCACGGTCGCGCGTCGGGCGAATGTGAACAAAGCCATTCACTTTCCAAGTTGAATATTTTCATACGCGCCGGTGGAACAAAATGCCGGTCACGGTACTGTGACGTTACTGACGTGTTTGAATCGACTTTCAGGCGCGTTTTTGCCATTTCAGATCAAGAAAGTTCGTAGATGATCAAGTCATAAGATCTTCAAGTCGCAGACCTCAACATAATATTTAACGAAATTATACTATGGATGAGATAGTATAAAACCTCACTATAAATAAAATTAAAAGTGGATAATATTCACAAAGTTCAATAAATTTAAATGATCGCATCTGGATATCCAACAGGTAGTTGGACGTTAAGCCCCCCTGCATGACGTACGTTACTTACATTCGTATGGTTCACAAGAATCAAAAACATCATACATTAGATAAAATATCATAAAAATTTTGCATTTTTTGTAAGTGATAATAAAACGATAATTCATCATTGCCAAATTTTACGCCGAGATTTGGAGAATTTGTTTGCTGATTATATCAGTGTACGGATGAGTATAGATAATAAATTTATCAACAATACTTTCTTCGACATTCGAGTTCCGGCTGGACGCATAAATTCTTTTATGTATACATTTCGCGTTACTACAGAATGCATGTTGAGTTAGGTTAGGTTATGAATTTTAGGTTAGATGGATTAGAGTTTTGTTAGCTTAGAGTTAAGTAACATTTCCGTTATTCGAGGTTTTTGTTATGAATCAGTAAAATATATCGGGGAAAAGTGCGATTTATTACATTGACGACTACAGTCGAAAAGTATGAAGTAACATAATAGAGGTATTCACCATGTTTGTAAGATGTTAACTCGTGTTAACTCGAATATAGAAATGTCCAGTAAGATCGTGAACGCCCCCTTCTTTTATCAGAATGTTAAACGTTAATTTTTCCGCATTGCTGCGCGTGGCGATTGGTAGAACCAAAAATAAAGCTATAACAGTCCTTGAAGGCTTGTTGATGTTTGTTTTGGTCTTCTTTTGTGTTAAATTGTAAGATGCTAGAAGTTAATAAAAAAGGAATGTTTATCAACTCTTTCATTCAAAATGCTATCTATGAATTCCAAAAGTACTAACAAATGACACGCTTCAATTCGTGCCGACATACCTAACTTGTATCATAACGCTTAACAGCCTAAAGCTTTATATGATATGGGATGTATCTATTATGAATGAGAGTATAAGGATTGTTCAGAAATTAACAAAAGAAATGTATTAGTCTGATTTAATTAATGCGTATTTAAGAATAAAAATACATCTAAACAAAAAACAGCTGTTAAATTCATGGCTGCCATGTTTGTTACCTACGCCCTAACGGATAGCAATGTGACTACATTTTCAACCTAACATCTAACATTGGCCTTGGCCTGTTAGATCGAGCAATGTTAACGAGCCGATTCTTACAAGTCTACGTCATCATTTTTCTCGATCTAACATAGTTAATGGGTTAACACAAAGATCTTGAATACCCCTAATATTTGAAAATTGTACATAAATTCGGTTGCAATATTATGATGTATATAACTTTTTATCAAATATTTTTCGTATTTATACTGTTAGTTGATGATGTAGCGATATAGGGCTGATTGGAAATTCTTTAATATATCGAAAATATCGATCTTTTTTAGTGATTATCTATTTTCATAATAGAAATCCTCTGATAATTGGATGAGCGAATGTCATTTTGCGAAAACGTCATTACATTATAATAACCGATATTGTGGATCTTTTAAGTGGTGTGTACTTACTACACTGGTGTATACTCACGATACACTGAGAGCCAAAAAAACTGGCCTCCCTCGTTGTATTTTAGTCAATCGTTAAAATTTTTATTTTTTGTTGTTTACCGGATATTTTCTTAAGAAAAAAAATATTTAGCACAACAATTTTATTAAAAATGTTGCTTCAAAAACAATGAAGAAATATTCAATTCTGTACGGAGTATTTCCTCCTTTTGCGTTAATCACCAAATCTAATTGATTTTATGAGGTTTTGAATGTAGTGCTATGAAATATTGTCATAACATTCCAATAGAGCCATTCTTAATTTCTGCAAATTCTCTGGCAACACTGGGCGAAATTTTTCTCTCTTTGACAACTCGTCCCATAAGTGTACGATGGGGTCTAAGTCGGAACTACCAGCTAGCTATGCGAAACATTGAATTCAAGCCCTTTCCAAGTAGTCAACAACGAGATTCTCCAAGCCGACGACTAAAAGTTACCAACATGTGTTTTATATGTCCCACTAAACTACATAACTAAACGTCCTGTAATGAAATAGAAAGAGATAGTTCTAACTGAAAGTGAATGAGCGTCGGAAAGATGAAAGAACCACCGGGAAATTAGTGACATATTTACTAAATGTTCGTGATGGAGGAGCGTGCTACGGGACGAGCTCCGGCTCATAATCTTCCAGGAGGATTCCAGACCACGCGAACCGCTTTTACCCTTGCGATTAGCAGACGCGTGTCCGTTTTATTATAACGGCCGTACATGTCAATCTTACGATTATTTCAATTGGCGTATCGTGCCGAATCTGCGTGTGAACTGATTGATTAGTTCTAATGCCATGTCAGGAAAAGGGTCAACCGTTTAAGTCATGTCAAATGATTTCATTGTCTTTGGTGTATCCTAAATTATATTAGATTGCTTATTGCTGGATTTTGCTGTTATGCGTGAAAATCGTATGCATAAAAGTTTATGAGGGATAATCCTCATAGGAAAAGAAATTAATTCGACGAAGAGAGACTACAACTCTACCATCATCAGAACGACACATATTTAGAATATTTGCGGTCTATTCGCTTGACATCATTAGTTAAAACTTACAGAAAGTTCACTATAATAGCAAAACTCTAAAAATTAAAACTACAAACTACTAAGACGAGATTATTATTATAGAAAGTAATGAAAGAAAATGTTCCGAAAAAAAGAACTCGTGGAAAAAAAATTCGAAGAATGGAGTCTTTTGAAGACTTTTTAAAGTGTTAGAACTATTATTTTAATTTAAATGTTTCAAAAATTAAATAATACGATTTTATGCATTATTTCCAATTAATTAAGGTTTTGGCTGAAATAAAAAAGTCAGCGTCACAAGCGGGATTCGAACCCACGACCTTCGGCTAAATACGCCGATGCTCTACCACTTGAGCTATTGTGACTTCGATCCACTCGGACACTAACTTCCCATCTCAACCCCACCTTTTGAATTTTTCCCTCTTTTTGCTCTTTTTTATCTCAACCAAAACCTTAATTAATTGAAAAGAATTTATTTCTTCAAGCGGACCACGAAACCTACAATAATATTGTATTATGTTAACTTCATTTAACATATCGTTGTTGTATGTACAACATATTTCATTGTATTTTACCACCACCAAGGATGTACTAAATTTCGAAATGTGACAATCTTCAACACCGCCGTGTCGGAATTTCTCGTCTATTTTATAAAAGAAATAAAAACAAATCAGAAATATATGGTCGGCCTTCTGTAACTAATGGGCTTTGGCAGATGTTGTTGAAGCGTGCTCGCCTCGAAAGACGCAAAGGTGCAAGCGTCAGGTGAGCAATGGAGCTCATCGTCAGACTACTTCCGGCACCCGCCATTTTATTTGGGCTGCATCCCCTACTTTGGATAACAGAACTAATTCGAAGCAACAGAGATAATTAATCTTGAAATAGATCGGATAAGTAGATACATCCTCCCCATGAATGTAGTAAACATAAAATACAGTGCTTTGCTCGTATGGCTTCTATGTGTTTGTGCGACATGTGCGATGTGATTGTTTAGCAACTTTTAACATATGCGA